ATATATACACGGGGAGTTGATTCTTCCTTAAGGCAACAAAGGAAAGACGAGATTACAATTTCTATTGTGCCATGGACCGGCCTTTTGACGCGGTGCTTCCAGCGTGACCTGCAAAACAGAACCATGCAGTCCCGCGGCCATGCTTTGAGAAGGACCTCGCACACACCCACACCCACACTAGCACAATTAACTCCAGGTTTAATTCTTTTCTAGCACGTCTTCAAGCCAGATTTCTGAAAAGAAACCTTCCAAAAAGAATTAAAACCGAAGTTAATTCCACACATCCCACACCATATCATACAATTAACTCCCGATTTAATTCTTCTATGGAGGGACAACAGAAAATCAGCTGCTAAAAAGAATTAATTCCTGATGTAATTCTTTTGAGCTCCTCTTGTTACACTCTTCCCTCATCGGAGATCATAGGAGCCTCATTTCAAAAACACCTTGCTACCATCTACTACTGTAATACTACGGTACAATTCTTATTCAAGCAGGTTGAATCATATCTTGGAATGGTCATATGTGTAAACATGTTGTTGAAGAAGTCTTTATCATGTGAACGGTCTTCGCCTACTTGGCACACTGTCCAACTTGGCCCTTCGCCGACTGAGCAGCTGAGGTGAAGAACTTGGTGACGGCCGAAGTGGACCTGGACCGGGGAGACATGGTGGACAAGCTCATCAAGTGCCATTGCGGCGTCGCCAGGGACTCCATGCAATTTTTCTTTGTTTTGGGGATGCATGAAACAGAGGGACACTTTTTGGGCATGCTTTGTTTGTTTGTTTGTTTGTTTTCAAAGAATTACAGTCTTTTGCTTTACTCTGTCTTTTGAAGTAGGCTAGTGGTAAAGACCCGTTTGAAAGTCGACAGCTATTTTGATGTTCATCAGGGCTTTGCTGTGCTTCGACCAATAGCTATTCATGTCATTCTGTTCCTGAGCAGTGTCCCGTCCTGTTGTGAAACCATTTCAACCGAAGGAAAGAGATCCCAGGAAAAAGATGAAAACATTGAAAAGGACTTTTGGTCGACAGGAGCTGTCCACGCAAAACATACCTTTTCACGGGTTGAAACAAATCCAACTAACACCTCCCCAAACCAAAGACTCTTGACGAACCAATTTTTGGGCGCTTAGCCCCACGTATGCTTGGGATTTGACCTTTGAGAGTTTTGCAGTATACATTTTCTGTTCTCTTTTCGTATGTATGAGTCGTGCCTTAGTTGCCTTTTTGGGGTGACAAGTGACCAGAACGGATCAAGGCCCCCCCTGTCTTCCGACGAGCGTTCATTCCCGCAGACGAACGGTTCCGCTCGGCGGTTCGGGGGGGGCCGTCCCAAACGGTTGAACTACAAAGAACGAAGCCCCCAGCTCTTCCATCCGCCGCTTCCTCTTGTGGATGGCCTATCCAACTCCACCATACTCCATGTCCATCTATAAGGCCTATCCATGCCTTATCCAACTCCAGGCCCAGAAACTCTGCGCTGATGTGCCTTAGCAAAGAAACTGTGACTACATCACCACAACTTCACCAAAGTTCAGGATACTTCTGCTCGTCACGTTCGCTCGCTTCGATGCTTTCACATCGCTATCTGGAAGGTCACCCGCTCGAGCCACCCGACACCCAGAAGCCTCATGACTGGTGTAGCAGATCCACTGCTAGCACTCCTTTGGCAACAAAGAAATCACCATGACATTTGCCGTAGAGCAGCCACGGAGAACGGAACAGTGCCTTGTTCCCATCGTTCCCAAGTCGCCTTGACTCACCACACAGAGCTCCCGCTCGTTGCGACCTCTCCACCATGCTGTGGCAATCCTCAAGACACACTGGTGCAAAGGGTCTTTGGCCCACGACCTCCCTGCAACCCTAAACATGGCAACTGAAGTTCTTCAAACCAGAGGTTTTTTGTTGCCATGATAGTCTGATATACTGTAGTTTGGGTGCATGGCCAATTGAAACTAAAGATCTACGATGCATCCGGGCAACTGTTCAGTGGCCAGGTACGATGAACAGCGCTTGGCACAGGCGCAGCCCAAATTCACAGAGCGCCAAGAGCCATGTAGGCATGTAAGTCTCGTCAAGTGGGGCCATGTAGCCACTTGAAGTTCATCGAGGCCGATAAAAACAGGTACTTCCAAGCGTTCTAAAGCCGAAGGACACACACACACACACACAAGGCGCATGAGACGGCTGAAGCCCCTGAAACCCATAGGTGTCTCGAAGGCTTCAACATGACTCCGAAAAAACAGAAGCAGTTCTATGACAATGAGATTTGCCCTCAGGGTATTTGCATGAGTTCCTTGTCTAAGACTGGAGTCCCTAGTGCATGTCACGTGGGCTGGACCAGGAAGTTGGTATCGGCTGTGCATTGAGTGTGGGGACCCAAGCCAAGCATCAAGTAGACGGGCATGAACCAATTGCCCTCTAGTCGACAGACAATATCGACCACCTGGGTGTCAACTACCTGGAAGTCGGCTGCCCAAGTGAGTGAGTGTATTTCGATGTTTGCAAAGATGGATTCCATAGGCAAAGCCGCTGGTCTGATAGGCTTCAATCGTCCTGCAGTGAACGGAGATGTGGACCATGGACCATGGAACGCGAGAGCGTTAGTATATGGGTGTGTTGTGTATTGGAGTGAACCAGCAATGAGTTTTCCCCAAGACATTGTTTCTTGTTCCTAGTAGTAAGGCCAGGAGCCCCGAGTAGCGTCCTTGCTCCTAGTAGCGATGCCAGGAGCCCCTGGTAGCTTCTTGTTCCTAGTAGTAGTGGTCAGGTGATCTAGAGTAAAATATGGATGAACAGGATCTGCAGGAGACGAAACAAAACACTCGTTGAACGCACGTCGTATCCGTGATAAAATCGACATGTGCAGTGGCGATTCTGACATTTCTCTGCGGGGTTTTGACATGCTCCTCCACTTCCCACACACCATTTCCAAACAGCACTCGACAACGTCCATGAGGAGCAAAAAGCAAAAGAAGCAAACACATCAACGTCACCCTTTGTCATGGAAAACGCTCATTTGGATTTTCGTCAGTCTTTCTTGCCATTCTCTCCAACCTTCCTAGTAGGTTCGAGGCCATCGCTGTTAGGTTGGAGGCCATCGCTCTTAGGTTGGAGGCCATTGCTCTTAGGTTGGAGGCCATTCCTAGTAGGGTGGACTAGCTTCTGTTTATCCGCTGGGTTACCCACAGCTTCACCCGGCACAGGAAAATGGTGCAGTTGCTGAGTCCTTGTTCTCCCACGGCAGGCCGGACCCTGGGCTGGCATCTGCATCGACATAGGTAGTGGATCCATGAACCGCCATGGTGGCGTAGTGGAGATTGGTTCTTTCCAAATATGTTGCTGGCATAGTATATACACCGATCCTTTAAAGCCGATCCTTTTTGGATCCGTAAAGCAGAAGCAACATTGTTCTTCGCTGCGCTTGAGCCACTTTGAGGTTGCTGTACGCAGCCTGTTGGTAGGAAAAAACAACGCCTTGAAAGGAGGATACAAGCTGATCATAAACTTATATAGCTGCTCCAATTTTCATGGACCTTTTGCTGTTTTGGTGCACACAATGACTTGATTTGTGTTTACATTTGCCCCTTGAACTGGTGGTCGCATCTGGGATTGCCCAGGACGATCCCTGTCTTATTGGGCCGCTTGAACTTGACGTCGCACTACACCCTTCACGAGCAGGGGAGACTCAGGAGATCTCAGAAGGACTGGATTCTTCGCGTCCAGAAGTCTCCACAAAGATCAGTGGTGTCCTGTGGTGTCGGACAGGTTGGGCGGCCAAACCAGATGAGAGTTTTGGTGCCGACCGGTCACATAATGCTATAAGAACTCGGACAAGAGTGACCCAACCCTGTCGAACTTTGGATGTAGAGAGTCTTCACATTCAGTGGACCCACCAGAGGAGGAATGCGATATGAACGTGGGCTTTCTTGGGGGCGGCTTCCCTGTTGAAGAGCCAATTGTCACGCTTTCACCTTGGAGCAGGCGAAGCGTCAGTGAAGAGCCAGAGGGCCAATACTGACTGGTTCGACGAAAGCAGGGAATGAGGGTGGCTGACCCTCCACTCTAGGGAGTCTCAGGATCCATTTGCCCAGTCTCTACTAAGCACCAGTCAGGACATTGACATCTGTGGGACAAACATGTTTTCTGCGAAAGGGGGCGAAATGCGTATGGACTGGTGGTAGAAGAATCTGTGGCCGGTCTGAGGTCAGGTATCCAAGACACCCAGAGAAGATTCATTTGTACAAACATTAATGTAGTTAGGAGGAACCCTCAAGTGAATCAGCATGAAACCTTCGCATCATGTTATCCTCAGTATGTCACAGGAATATAATGGAATATAGATGTTTACTTGCTCTTCCTTTTTGTGGGTACCACTTGCAGTCCTCTCTACTATCAACGACGCAGAACACCTCCATCTCCTCCAGCCGAGGACCGCCGATTCCCGCCGGACCGAGGCGCCGCACGCCGCTCCGGACGCATTTGCTGAAGTTCCTGCTGAACATCCTCTCCAGGTCCGACCCTGCCGACACGGAGCGACCGGACGATTCGCGTTGGGCGGGCCAAAGGCGGACGGACGCGATGGTGGAGTCGGACTGGTGTGTGTCGGACTGGTGTCTCCGTGCGCCTGAGGAAGTCCGCAACTGGACCCAGTGGAATTCTTGGACTTTGAATGCCATACGAGGGCATGCAAAGCGTGAACATTTTCTGGCAGACTCGTATGGACCCGCGCACAGAGCGTGATGGGTCATCGAGTATTACTGTTGCATATTGTAACTGTTGTACAATCCAGGTGGAATATGGTGGAATAGTCGTCACTTGGGAGATGTTCAACCAGTATGGGGGCAAGGTCATAGGCATATCAGGGTGGCAAGCAAGAGAAAGGGTAGGAAGGAAGTATCGCTGTATTTCACTGCTTCGCCACCAGTTCTTAAGGGCCTTGGAAGCCCTTGTGGTGGCGTTGCGTAGATGCACCCTGGTCTGGCACGACCAGGTATCAGCAACGTGTGGCCACATGTGGGTGATGATTTTCATAGATGTTCAATGATTTTCATAGCTTGACCCTTACTTTTGGCGTCTTAAGAGAAGGTTGGGCAACCTTGCACATTGGACGTCGCTCCTCGATGGTGGCCACGGCCGTTCCAACCCGCAGCACCGGGCTGAGTGATGGAAACCTGATCCATCGAGGCAAGAGAACCCCTCCACAGACGAGCAAGTGGAGCCACGCGCAGCCATCGATTTGGTTTTGAACGTCCAAGGTTAGAGATCATGGTCAATCCCGACATCACATGTCACTGGTGGGGGGGGTAGCCTTCTACACCAGCCTCAGCCAACACTTCTCCCACTTTTTTCATTTCTCCAATGACATCCAGCTACCACAACAAGCAGACACTGGGCAGCTTGTTGATGTCTTGGTTGGTCATAGGGGAGGATGCATTTGGTAGACTCCCCAACTACCTCCAGATACTCCTCAGCAACAAGACACATTGCATTCAACAATCTTTGTGAAGAGCTCTAAGTTTCAGTGTCGCCCTCGCTCGCATTTTAGCTTCCGATCGCCCGGCATGCACAAGAAAGCGCCGTTCAAATTCGAACCCACAGCCATAGAACTCTTCACCCCAGAACCCACAGCAGAACCTACAGCTGAACCCACAGCCAGCGGAGATGCTCCCGACCGGTGAAATCCGCGAACACGGACCCGGGGACGCGAACGTGAACCATCCGCGTCGCCATGGCCCTGAACCAAGAGTTCTGGTTGCAACAGAAGCGGCGTGAGGCCGGTCTACTTCAATTGCCTTCAGGAGAAAGCATTCTCCAACAAGCCACAACATGTGGAACTTGTGTAACTGTTGAACGATTTTCGAGTTCCAACATCTTTTGACAATCTTTCACATCCACCTGCCACAGGCGGAGCGTTTAGGCTTGGCTCCACCGATGGCGCCGGGCCTCACCGGCCCCACGGGCCTCACCGGCCCCATGGGCCCTACGGGCCCTACGGGACCGGTGGCGGGGGGGTCCCTATTGAAGGAAGTGAAGCGTTTCTTTTTCAGAAAACCGTATTAGTAGCTTCTTGTTACTACTAGCGGCTAGCGTCCTTGTTACTACTAGTAAGGCACTTGTTACTAGAAGCGATGCACTTGTTCCTAGTAGCGTCCTTGTTCCTTGTATGGACCAAGGAGAACCCTAAGGACCTTGATCAGCGATAGTTCGGCGGGCAATAGGTCAATAGGCCCAATTTTATACCATGGATACTCGGTGAAGACTGCACACGTGGTGCTTGCAACAAAGCAAACTCTGGGTATATACCATGAATTTCTTGGGTTTCCACAAATCGGAAAGAACAGGTCTTGGGCATTCTGGCTCTTTGGGCGGTTGCGACGGCTCCACCGTCCAACCGATCCGAACACCGAGTCGGCCCTCACAGCGGCCCTGAACGGGTTGGGCCGGGGCCTCCGCTCCCGGCGCCGTCCCAAAGGGGGCCAGGTGATCCACTTGGACTTCGGTTGTGGACTCCAACCCACCACCGGTAGGATGTCCAAGAGGTGGGAGAGTAGGGGATCCTACCTACCGAGGTGGTAGGATCCGGTATAGGACCTACCCAGTCGGAGGTCCAATGCCCGATGACCTCATGACCTGACCACCCGCCCCCATGGTCGCTCTGAGGTCGCTCCCCGCCCCATGATGGCCCGGCCGCTCATGCGACCTATGGGGATGCCGGTGGCAGGTGACAGTGGGGGTGGCGTTCGGTGGCGTTCAGCCAACATCTTCAGCCAACATGGAGGGGCGAAGCACTCCCAGTGCACTTTCCTGTTCGAATGATTGGTGAGGCCGTGAGGCCCGCCGCTTTCATCACCGCTGGTGGAACATCCCCCGAACCGCCCTCCGACGTCGGGGTGGTAAGATGTGAGTCCACACAACCGACGGTTGGATCGTGCACGTGCCAACCTCGGACTCACGTGTTTTGTTGGCTGGCCCACCATTGGGAAGAAACATGTACCTGGTGTCCATCAGTGATTGCTCAAGTCTGAGAAAAAGATCAGATCTTTCCCCTATCGACTTTGCAACTGTCTCATGCTTTTTGCTGGACAAATTCCTGCGTCATTGGAGAAGCATAGGCACTTCACATCATATCGATGTCATCTCAATTCTGTGAATCGGGTCAAACATAGCCCCAAGTCGACGGAGGTTCACTCACCAAACAAACCAGACGGAGTTTCACTCAACGAATTCCCCAATGCAGCTAGAAGTTGCACGCGCACTGATCTGAACTACCTTCCATGCGACCCGCCCACATGTTCGACACCAGTCGGAATCCGTTTCCGTCGGCCAATGGAATCCGTCCGAACATCGGCGAGTCATCGCCGGGAAGCTCTTCTCTGTGCCGTTCCGGTGGATCCAACATGGAAGAACCTCCCCAAACAACCCCCCGGCCTGGCCGAGTCAGTGCAGGGTGTCCAGTCGGTGCTGAGCTCGGTTTGGTGCTTCCGCCGGTGCCAGGTGCTGCACTTCAAGCCATGGGCATCCCTTGGATGCCGCCCAAGAGGCGATGCGGATGCCGAATGATGAAGAAACCCTACCTGGTGAGGGCGTGAACGACGCGAGTTTGCGCTGTTGGAATCAGTGACATCAGTAACATCGTTGGAATCAGGTGTGAAGAGGTGTGAGGATGTTGTTTTTTCTCTTCGGAAAGAGATGCATGGGAGTTTATTTAACGAGGTGCCAGTGGGAGGATAGACCAGATGTCACAAATATTGCTTTGATCTAGGGAGATCCTTTGGATTCTAGGTGGTAAGTGAAGTGTTCATGATTGGTCACCGCCTAGATGGCGCAGGTGAGGATTTTCCCCGCAATCTTTGGTGGCAGGGCGACAACACACCGTAAAAACCTTGCCCCCAAGCGCTAGGCAAAGGCTGACTATATAGATGAGCCGTCTCTGGCGTTGCAATTGAATCAGTTCATTCAGTTCATTCTCAGACCAAAAAACATGACTTGGACAGGACATCATTCAATCAATGCCAGACATGAGACATTTGTTGACCACCATTCGACGTACTTGCTCGAGTCGTGGATCGTGGAGGTGATGAAGCGGCAGTTTTGTGAAGAGTAGATCTGAGTCAAGCCATCCTTCTCACCCATTCAACACCTATTCGCCTATTCGATACGGTGTGGCGATCCATTTACAAATCATTCAGCCGAAGACTGTGTTTTTGCCCATCGCTGGGAGGGTCCAACAAGAGCCACTCCCTTTCCAGAACCGAAGTGGACCCATGGCCCCTGGGATGACCATTCCCTCTACAAAACGGGTGGTTTTGAAGTCCTTCCATGACTATTCCAGAAAATGTAAGAACTTCCACGGGGGGTGAGGGGGTTGGATTTTTCATGGATCCTGGCACTGATGATCCACAGTACTACTCTCTCGTGAAGTAAACTTGGGTGTTTGCAGTGATTTATCAAACTGGAATGAAACCACATAATCCTTCTTGCAAGCCATGTCAACTCGTCGATTCTAATTTAGCACCTCTCAGTCGTCGGGCTGCCTGGACTCAAATCGGCGCATCCGGCTCTTGTGATCGATCTTTGAAAGTTCATCAGCCCCCCCACGCGATGCGGAAGGCCAGCGATGGCGGCAGCAGCCACCGATCATCAACACAAAGACTGGAACTCGGATGATGAGGAGACGTTTGCAGAAATCTGAGTTAGTTTGTTGATGTTTTTGTTGCTCAACCAACCACGATGCATCCTGAAAAAAACTCTTCAGCAGGTGTTCTGTTTTCATTCGTGTTCCTGGAGCAGTCATACGTAGCAGTCCTGTTTCAATCAAAGCCGACGTTCACAAGAACTGGTGGATGAACTGGTGGATGGTGTACCAAGCCACCACCAGCAACAAGCAGAAAAATCCGGTGATCGTCAATAGATCTCAGGTGATTTCAACCAACAATATAACAACCCATCAATGTGTTTATATATATTATATAATATATATATATATATTATAATATAGATATATGGTATATTTATATGTGATCTGCTTCAGTCGGAACTCCGACGCACTTGACTTGACGATCCTTCGCAGGAGATCGACGAGTTTGGACGCAAGAAGAGGTTGGGGTGTTCACCGAGACCGTCATTGGGGTCAGGGATCTATGGGTTGTTGCAGATCGATTAGAAGGCAAACGGAACAACCCAGGTGAGCGCTTGAGCGAAAAGGGAGCCAACCGCTTGTGGATCACTCATTCTTGGTCCACAGACAGGTAAATATGCTCTTTTACATTGACTCCCTGACCATCCCTAACATCCATGGTGTAGAATGGTGTGCAGGTTCTAAAGTTCTTGAACCCTCACAGATGGGCTACTTCTCGTTCCGTGTGGCAGGCGGAAGGTGGCCAAAGCGAGCCAGGCGAAGGCCTTGGTGGGAGTTGGGGCGGAAGAGGATGGAGCAGGTGTGTGCATGGTGATGTATGACTGCATGACACGGCCCTGGGATTTATTTCGAGTTCATCAACATGGAGCTTGAAAAGGGCAGCGCGAGTACTGGTAAAGCGGGTATCCTTTCTGAGACCAATCATGGAAGCAGAACCTGACCCTGTGCAACTTTTCATTTATAAGGGAACCCTGCCTCGAGGGATTGCTGGGTTATATAGTTAGCTTTTCGTAGTTTCGCTATAGCAAGTAATTAATCTCGCTGGATTCATCGCACTGGATCAACAACATCGCATGAGAACTTTGCTCAAAGTAGGACAAAGGCAAATCAAAAGCATCCGAAGCCAACCCCAAAAGTTGCACAATGTTGCATTATATTTAGTTCCTCTGATGGTCGGCCAATCCAAGGTGAGGAAGACTCAGAGACGTCTATGGCTCCCAGCTCTAGCAGACATGACATGGAGCTGCTTTTCAGTGTGATCGTGGAACAACATCCATAGACGAAGGACCCTTGAAGGCTCACGAAGACGATGTCCCTCCATTATTAATAATACTATATATATAGTTTCATGATGTCCATCACTTTTAATCAGTTTAATCAGGAACAAGTTGTGGTGGCCCCAAAGAACATCAAAGGTCACACTGGCAATGACTGGTAGGAATATCCCTGTGACAACTAGTGGCCACCCCGCGACGTGATTTTTCCTGTCATGAGCTTGAAGTCAAGTATCACCAAACAATTTTTCCCTGTTCATGTTTTTCCCCAATGGCGGTGCCCAAGCTGGTCGTCTTCGACTTGGATGCTTGCTGTTGGTATCCAGAGATGTACATGCTCAGACGAGGCACAGGGGAACGAGAGGATCGGAGGGATTGTGCAAAAGGCCCAGGAGGAATCGGAGTTGTTTTGGTGCCCCACTTGCACCTTCAGGGCCCCACTTGTGACGAGTCAAATGCCGTGTGATATGTCAGTGATATTCAGGGATCATGTAATTATCATGGTAGCCTGGAGGGGATCGTTTAAGGGACTACAATATGAAAGTTAAAAAAGAATACACATAAATAGAAGATATGTTGATTGTCCATAGCTTTTGGTTTTTCCATTTTCCACAATTTGCTCCAGCCGTGGCAGCATTTATCTGTTGCAGGATGCACCCGCTGCCGTAGTCGTCAATGGTAGAAGACCTGCTGCAGTAGGCTTCCCACCTATATGTAAGGGTAGTGCTTTCTATGCAATGTCCGTGGCTCATGTGGCAATTCAACTTTCAATGCTAAAGGCCTAAAGTTTTGGATGATTGGGGAGACACCAATCCTAATCATTGTAAGGTTCCTCAAATTGGCTTGGGGCAAAAGCTATATTTCTATATATGCATCCGCATGGTAAACAGATATGCTGTTGAGGAAGCCCTTTGGAACCAGCATGAACTACCTGCAGGTCTAGTTTTGACACACCACATCCTATTCCTGACCATCGCCAGCCCATTTAGTGGGCCCTCATGTGCAAGGCAGCTCCAACAATGTACAACATCTCCACAAAGAGCTCCAACAATGTGCAGCCTCTTTAAACATCTTTAAACCATATTCAAGACCGGCACAGCTTTCTTTCCTAATGGACGCGCTTGCGGGTCGGTTTAAGATCCATGCACAGTGACAGGAGCGCCCTTCGCGGCCACCAGCGATCCCAATGTGCTGATGACGTGTGGCAAGGAGAAGGTGCGTTTGCTGGGCGACGTGCGGAACATCTGGAAGGAGACCGCGTTTCGGTCGAGTCCGAGAGCGGGTCCGAGAACGGAAGAGACAGAGGAGACGGAAAAGGGAAAAGGGAGGCGTCGAGAGGCGGAGGGAATCGAACCCCGCCAGACCATTCCATGTATGGAAGAGTTACTTTCTGTTACTTGCATTAGAGTCATACCGGAGTAGATGTATGTCAGATATCTGTATATTCACCTGGATGTCCTGGGAAAGGCCCTTTCGCTATCGCTCGGCAGAGACCGGGGTTCTCGGACCGGGTTTCGGGGTCCAAGACGTCACCGGTCGGAAGCGACCGATCAGTCTCCGCTCTCCACCGAGAAGTCCCAATGAACAGTTTCCATCGTGTTTACCAGACATTGGGGGGGGGTGATGGGTGATTTGATGAGCCCTATACCCATTGGATGGACTGACGACGAAGTATACAGGATGCGCAGGATGTTGTTCTTCGTTTTGGATTCTTGAGATGGTTTTCGGGCTATTCTCATCCACAAAGGATTCCCACCTAAAGGCACCACCTAACTGTGATAAACTGTGTGTTCTTTTTCTTGCGTTACATGCCTTCACATCAGAGAAGATCCACCTGCTTCGCTGTCCTGGTGGAAGTTGCTGATGCAGAATCCCACCTCATCGCTGCACATCGAAATCTGGAATGCTACATGGGTCAACAAGAAGAAGCAGTCAATCTCCTTCGAACCCACCTTCTGTTCGGTCCCGTCGCCTCGTCCACCCAAGGTCCCGCCGCTCCCCGTGTGCCCCAGGAGCTTCACTCCTCGGAGATGTTTCAGTCCACCCGCGTGGGTGTGGCCTCACGCTGTGATGAGCCTGAATGGGGCCGTGAGTGCCTGAAGAAGTTCATGGTTGAGGACAGACGATGCGCTGCTGCTTGCGTCATGTCTGTAGAATGGTGGCGGGAGATCCGAAGTCGAAGTGAAGTGAGCTGCTATGAGGGCGGTTGACCGCCACTTTAAAGTCTGGACTGCTTTTCTTGTCATTGTATTCAGTTGGGATAGGAGGATTCCACGTGGGCGAGCAAACTTGAACAGCAAGCAGACATGTATACAATTGCTATATTACTTTCAATGCTGGGAGATGTCCTGAGAGTCTTTCGCATCTTCAGCCGTTCAGAAAAAACAGTGGTTTCAGAGCTTTGATGGCACAAGTTACCCCAAGTTTGGTGGATATGGATCCTCATCCGTCGACATTTTGGGGTGCCAGTTGCCATCGAACCTCTGATGACCGGTGTTTAGACATCCTTCGCAGAAGGACGCCGTCGCAGCGACAGTTTTTTGCGAGGAGGGCGTCTCGATGTGGGACGTGGCCGAAAAAGGACACTTGGTGGAGATCTTCAAGTCGAGCACCGGAGCTCAGTGCGGACGAAGACGTAGATGCAGATGACGAGAGAAATAGCCTGTGAGGTGCCAGCTGAGATGTCAGGGCTTGTGTTACTTTTTGTTAAAAGTGTTTATTGACCAAGGTGATGTCGTGGGCATCGCGACACGCCGAACGACCAAGCGCCAAACGGCATCTCGGTAAGGCAAGCAAGAGCATTTCCGAAGGCTGGCGGCGAAGACTGGAGTGGCCTTTGAGGAGCCGCTGTTTTTTGGAAACTCGATGAGTCGGGAAGCCAAGAGATAGGGAAGAATACTCGTATGGATTCATAAATGCATGGGCAGTAGGTATATACAACTTATAACACTCTATATGTGATACATAATATTATATGATAATATGTAATGTAATATGTCGTATTAATATCATCTCACAGGATTTGGATCCTTGGATCCATTGGACCATTTTGGTTTGTTTGGGTTTATGACTGTCATCTCAAGGGTGTATCTTGAAATACGGATAGCTATCATACATAACGCCAGCATCAACCACTGGTAAATAATGTAAAAGGGACAAGGGAACAAAAACCTCTTATCTTATTGGTTAAATTATGTTAAGTTAGGTTGTGTCGGTCTTCCCACGTTGAGACGTACCCAACTAGATCAATTTAATCGCCAATGAAACCAGTTTTTTCACAGGAGAGAGCGACGGAAGACGACAGTGTCGCTAGGAAATGCTCTTCTTCGACGATGATCCATACAACATTCAGGATTTTCTTTGGTGGTCGCGTCGCAGTTCTTCAAGCTGGCTCGGCGCGTTTGCATTTGAAGTTTTCCCAGGACAACAAAGATGGATAAAGATGGTAGTTTCCACGATTCTTCAAGGTCAAAGCCTTTCTCAGAGTGACCAGTGTTGTTCTAATCATGGTTTCTTGTGCCCTGGGCCATATTCTGGTCCCTTTCTTTCGATGTGGGGGAAGCTGTGAGATTCAGGGCAGTTCAGAATGACTTCGCAATACAAGAGCTATCTGAGATTCACCCGCAACACTGCACATGTCATTGCAGTTCCCACAAAATGAGCTGCGTCGATATCACACAACCAAACTTTCTGTCATGAGAACATGACACTTCTTTCTGCAGTTGTATTTTTGGAACAGACCCAGAACAGCGGCAGATCTGTCGAGCTTGGAATCCGTTCGCATGTTCTTTTAGCCTCGGCAGCTGACTCACCTGGCAAAGGACACCTCTGGACAGATACACATATATATATAATCATATATATATACACACATATTAAGCGTCACAGCCGATCTTAGTAAAGATGCATATACGGATTGCATCAGATTGCCAAGGACAGCAAAAGGCATGTTGTTTGCTTGTTGCTGTCTAGGAAAGTGCTTAGAATAATCTAAATGTGTTTTGATGCCCTTTGCCTTGAGTGTTGGAAGCTTAGCATCATTCAAGTCCTCCAACGCATCGGAGACCATGAGATCAATTTTACAAGGGTGATCATCCGGATTGGGCAGTTCACAGTGTTTAGAGTCGTCATCTAGCTGGCCCTTGAAGAAGCTAGTGTATGCTGGCTCAATCCTTTTCACTAAGGTACCTAGATCCACGTGGGACTGGTTTCTATAGTCAAGGCTGCAATACTTGCTAATTGCAGTGGCCCTCGCTCCCATATTATATATATAGGTGCTTTACCGGATAGCTTCTATAGCGAGCAAATCGTAGCCTGCAAGAGATCCTCAATACCGTGCTTGCCTCTAAAAGAACTCAACATACCAGCAGTTCCAAAGGAATATGTTTAAATTCCCTTTTTGGAGTGGAAAATGGGCACCCCTGTCCTTTTATAGGTACCCCTTTCCAGCGGTGCCGCTTCCGTCCTTCCGTCAGGACGTCTCCCGTTTGGGGGTCACCTGTGTGGAGACACCAGACGGTGTGACGCCCGAGGCTTGGGAGGAAGGCGTGGGGATTTCACCACGTGGCGGAGAGCGGAGAACTGATGCGAAGCATCCCAGCTGGCAAGCGATTTGACATATACAACACACACTCTTTCATCACACTTATAAAGTGTTTGTTTGTGTTACGATGTGTAGAATCAGTTTAGATCTTATAAGCTGGCAAGCTTTTGAAGTCTTATAAGATCATTTTGCTGAAGAAGCCCAGCAATTCGTTCTGTGCGAGGTTTACAGCTCCATGCACTGCGGCATGACGGAGGAGGGGTTTGGGCCTCAGATTTCCCGGATTGGCCGGTGGCAGCACCGGATGCTCAGCCTGAGCTATGTGGCATGAACAGTAGACCGCTGCAAGATGATTATTGTCTACACGCCTAAGGAGAAGTTCTTTTGGGGCGCCGGGAGTGATTCCTGTGTGGAAAGGATTTCAACCACTTCAGAAAATCCAAGGCTCCGCCAGAGAAGAAAACCGCGAAGGGCGTGAAGCGCCGCTGAAAACGGACGCGTGCTGAAACCGCTGTTTGAAGGAGTTGAGAAAGCCGAGAAAGTGGAGGGAACCTGATGTTGAGTTGTTTGGTGCAATCAATTGGTCAAACCCACCACTGACCCAGAATGGAGAGGTGCCTATATTGGAAGGACTCTAACAGGTGTCCAATCTCAGCTACCCACAACCGCAGAAGAATTTTTAGCTTCTAGGCAGTGATATGAATAAAAAACATCACACAGTGGCAGTCCGGTTGATTTGTAGAGTTCCCACCTTCTAGAATTCACAAACCCTGCATTGATGCATACCTACGATCTCGGAGTGTGTCAGACATGCACATGTACGTATCATTCTCCGATCTCCGTGTGTTCTTTTTCAGGCCTCTTCAGATTCAACTCCCACCGTGGTGCCCAACGTCCATCGGTCGCAGCACACAATGAGAACACAAGTCGACTCGGCCGGCCGAGTGAGTTCGTCGACTCGGGTTACAGGTGGAACACAGAGAGTTCGTCGACTCGGGTCGGGGAAGAAGTTGTTTTGAGCATTTTGGGAAAGATTAAGACCTCTTGAACTTCTACTTCTTCAATGTGCTTATGCCTGCACATTCTTAGAACCCACCCTCCCTGAGCTACCCATCGAAGGGATTGGATGAAGCTTTTAGTAGGTGATTGCCGGTGTAAGTTTCCGTTTAGATTCAAAAGAGAGATCACCCTGACAATGAAGAGAATGAAGAGACCAAGGCTGTTCGCCTTGTCTTTGGATTTGGGCCATGGCTTTTCTCGATTTGTTATGTCGACAATCCTTTGGGATGTCTTGTGGAGACAGGCGTCCAAAGAAGAGTCGGACGGCAAAGATAGCAAAGACGGAAAGGAACACAAGGAGCACAAGGAGCAACGATGGATTCAGCGAGAAGATGTGGCGGCTGGACCTGAAATCCTTGTCATACCAGTTAGGTTTTTGGCTTTCATCAGGGTGTTTGATTTGACCAATATATGTTCCAACATTTCTCCAACCTCTTGCCATTCTATGTTCCCGCATGTTCCCGGTGTTCTGATGGATGTTCCTTGAGAACAAATTCTACTACTCTCCTTGGAACCAACATGGAAGTGGAGTTCACCCCCTGTTTGGTCCCCGGGCAGGGTCATTCTTTTCCTGGCCATGCCATCCACCTAACCATCTAAAAAAATCAACGTTCGAGGAAATGCTATCTATAGGAACCGCCATTTTCGCTCTGGAAGTGCCTCTGCAAGGGCTTCTCCCCCTTCTCCCGTCATGATCAGCAGGACTCCGCCATGATCGGCAGTTCCAAGCTTTCGGAGAAGCAGCGCCTCGGGCAAAAGGGCCGCGACAGCGGGGGCCACCGTGTGAAACAAAATCGCGTTTGGTCCGTCTTCCACCGGGGGGGGGGTAGAGGACGCTACTAGGAGCAAAGGGCATCGCTACTAGGAGCAAGAACGCTACTAGGGGCTCCTGGCCTTAGTACTAGGAGCAAGAAGCTACTAGTAGCTTTGTTCGGAGCAATCGACGTCTTGGCCGCCATGGTCGATAGGCCATGGGCCAGGGTCACCACTTTTTTCGGGTTCCGATTGCAAGGGAACTGTGCTTAGTGGACGAAGGGAAGCCCGACCCCTCCCAACCCATCCGAACTTCGGTCCAGGCATGGAATCAGTGTTCTTCTCTTCCTTCGGTGACGATCGTTTATCTTTGTCTTTCCTCATTGAAAAGAAAACATCTTCGACAGATTCGGACAGGATCTCATGAACTTAGTTAAGAAGAACAACAATGGAAGCACGAACTCTCGCCATCTTTACCCAAGCTTCCAAACTGGTGGATAGAGCTGAACTATATTTCAGGGTGAGCCCCGTATCCTCGAAGCTTCAGAAACCACCTTCACCAAGTTGGATAAGTTGGACTTATATAATAAGTTGAAGCAAGTCGAGTTCCTCAAACAATAAGGATGGACCTCACCAAAAATGATTTCTCCATTTGGTGGTTTTTCTCTCCCCAAAACTGGAAAACCAAGTCGCTCCACTCCGGTCGTTCACTCCGGTCGCTCCAGGAAGGCCGCCTTGGAGCGGCTCCGGGAGCGCGCACTGAAGCCACCTCCGTGGCGAAAGCCCAGAGAAACGGAGCGGGACACCGGAGGAATCCATCACTTGGGAGAGAGATCGAGGCCCCCAAAAAGGTCAAGGATCTCATTCTACTGGATGTGGTCAGAGGAACTTCAGTTCTTTTAACGTGTTTTTACTGGATCACTTGGACTGATGGACGGATACAAAGGGCACATGTTCAAAGCCCAATCTGGGTTGAAGAAACAGATGTTTTTGTCTTCAAGCTGAACAAGGAATTTCATTGATTAATTAATGCTTGCCGGATTTAGATGCATACTGCATACTCAAGTAACCTGAAGATGGAAAAGCACGATGCAGGACGATTGACCAATATTCAAAAAGGCTATTCGGTTGGAGGCCATCGCCATCAGGGTTGGAGGCCATTGCTTTTAGCTTGTGACGCCTCGCGACGCCTTGCGACGCCTCTGAAGCCACCAGAACATCTTGTTAGTCGCTGTCCTCATCGAGGCGGGGACCGATGGGGGCAAGAGCATCGCTCCAAGGCCTAAGGAGGAACCCAAAGAGGAGAAACCCAAGACTGAAGGCGCGGCATTGGGCTTTTTGGGCGAGAAGAGATGGGAAAAGGGTAGGTAGGTACGGGTTCTGAACGAGGTAGGTACTTACCCTTTTGATCCCTTTTGACCTTTGGAATAGTTGGCATTCCCAAACTAGTGTGACCCAGGTTCTAGGTCCATAGTATAGATAGGGGAGCATGGTGACCAACGCAAGCGCTGCTTCGCTTCCGGAAGAGCAACAATCATATAGGATGAGTCACCTGCACGTTCTCCTTGATTCACCCTGAGTCAAAGCTTCGGAACCTCTAAAGCGTCTGACTGGCGGTTCCAACAGATGACATGAAGCAACATGAAGCAACAACTCTGCAGAACTTTATAGGTTTGGGGATCCTTTTTCTGGTTCCACGACTTCTTCTGGATGCCAGTCTGAGCTCAACTCATCTCATCCGTGTGGGTTCTAGATTTGACTTGAAAACAGGACAGCCGAACTGAGGCACGAACTCCAAAGGAAGGGTTTTTAGTCCCAAGCGAGTGAATCATGGGCATCCCTGTCCAACACATCCCTTTGTAACTGCTGGTAATTGGTCTTGTTCTTTCCTGGAAGTGCGAGGTATTTTGAATGTCTCTGCAAACACAGAACTTGCAACTTTACATCACTTTACCTTTGCAGAGGAACCTCAGAAGACGGGGATGCAGATCGCCCACAGAGAACACTCACGCTCGCCCAATCGCTGCTGTGGCTGAAGCTAGACAGTCATCCATCGGGACAGAGATCGTTTAGCGCATTCGCGAGGGATGCCTGGCTGAAGGGCGTGGGGGGACGCTGGGAGATTCAGGGAGACCCCAGTGCCCCGGGAGTAGAACAAACAGTAAACGGCCCGTTTAAAGGCCCTTGACTCCATTATAGTAAGGCCCCTTTAAAGGCACTCAGGCACTCTGTGCTTTCCTTGCTTCAACAGTGGGATGTTCACTGGGTGTTTTGCCGGTCGTTCTTTGCTGCGAGACACAAAGGCCTAAGGCCGCCCCTTTTCGCCGGTCATGATAAATCCTGCTGTAGCTCATACCTCAGACATTCGATCACATGTAAAATGCGAGTAATAGTGTCTAAGCAGGCACATCCAATGTTCCACTGAGTCTTAATGTTCTCCAATGAGGATCAAGCCCCAAAAGGCACCCCTCGCTTGCCCCCCTGCGCTTGGAGAAAAACATTCTTTCTCATCCATGTCCGAGTGAATTTTGGCCAGTGGGAGGGCCCAACAAACAAGAACTCTCAAGACTCAACATATATTACAACTAGGAACAAGAAGCTACTAGGAGCAAGGGCATCGCTACTAGGGGCAACAGGCATTTCTACTAGTAGCAAATTAGCGTAGTAGCGTCAACCTGCAACCTGGAGGGAGGGTCTGGCAGGGTGAACACCGGAGAGATGGATGAGCTGGAAGGTCTTTGGAGGCCATTCATGGACTTTCTGTTCGACTTCCATGCAGAACTGATGTCTCCAGCAAGGTTCTCTCAAAAACACGGTTTTTCTTTTTTTTTTTGCGTTGCATGTTCGCCTAGCAGTTCATCGTTATCCATACAGATTCCTCTGCCCTCCAAATCCCACTGGCTGAGGCCTTCGCCTTGTTCAACCTGAGCTATTTCAACCGGCATCCCTCTACCATCTTTACTACCATCTCTACATCTATCCACCCACTTGGGGACCTGTCCCCTTGACCCTTACCGAGGGAGACAGAGACCCACCGCGGCTGGAGGATGCTGAAGGTCTGTCTTGGGCTCGTCGCCTTCCACGTGAAGGCGAGGTCGCCAGTCATGAGCCTTGCGCCTTGACACGTGCCCTGAGAGAAGGACAGAATATGACAGAAAATCGGAAATCGTATGCTGCAAATTCGTCTGTTATATTCTGTGTTATTTTTGTAATAGTGTCGTCCTTCTGCGGCGTTGACTGTCCAAAAAAAAATCCCTTGTATAATATTATAATCCTTTATATATATGTCCTGTGTAGAACTCATGCGGGTCATGCGCATCATCTGAAAGTCTTGGAAGTCGATTCCATGGATTATTTTTTCAGGAGTCACATGTCGCGGTGGTGTTTAGTCCCATCCAGTGGATGTGACAGGGGCACCCAACTCCTTCCTCCGTTCCTTCAACACCCTGGGAGAACGTGACTCCGAGCACGGCGATTGCCGGAGGCCCTGAACTTTGACGATTACCTCCAGCGATATGGCAAGGCCCGCCAGCAAGAAAAGGGGCCCAAGCGGGCCCACGGCGGACCAGGTGTGCCTGGTGTGTAAACACAAGGAGGCCCACCCCCAAAACCCTGAGACCACGAAGCCCAAAAAAGCCCAAGAAACCCGGCAGGATCTGAGTCCAGAAAGACCCGGGCGGCGCCGTGGTTTGCCATGGTTTTCTGCGGTTCCGTGGGATGAAGGCCCGAGTCCATCGACCCAGCTACTGCGGGCCTTTGCTTTGTATGTTTGTTTTCATGTGTATGATTAGATGTTCATAGATGTTCGGTGTTACATTCGAGGCTTAGTGGGTCGCGAAGTCACTCGTTTCGCGTCAAAGTATCAGCGTCGAGCGAAGCGTCGCTGTGTTGAAGCAGAACTCTGTCGGTGGAGAGGTCACTCCCCTCTTCGTCCTGTCAGGACTATGACGACCCAGAGGAGCCACTTGGAGAGCACGAGTCGAGCACGAGTCGAGTCGAGTCAGGCAGACTGGGTGTTTTTCTGTTTTCTAATAGGATCTATAGGGAGACCCTCAACATCCCCCTACCAATGGGTAGACTGGTCAATTGTGCTTCTTCCAGAGGGTCCAACTAGGATAACTAGGAGTTTAAATACACACTCATTGGTCCTCGGTGTGGCCCTTCTTGGGCCCTTCAAATGGAGCGTAACCCGAATGAACTGGGTGGCCAGCGGAACCCGTGCACCATTGATGTACAGGTTTGTTTCAAGGTTGCCACTGCTTGACCACCATGAAAAGCATCGTTGTCAAATCATGGGGTCACAAAATGTACGAAACCACCCCCCTCCCCTTTGTGGAGATAGACTGGGCGATGTCAGAATTTTCTCGTGGGTCTGCCAGGTATGCGTACCGCAAGGCTCTCTTCGATCAGCGGGCCGCACGGATTGACGCCCAGAACGCCATGGGTACGTGGAAAGCAGGCGAGACGCGTCGGCATTCGACACGCGATCGTGTGGACCGCGTCGGGCCGCATGGGGCATCTGGGGTGTTCATAGGCACTTTGGTTTTTGGAATGGTTTGGACTTGAAAAGGAAATACGGTCTGATCGAGGACAATGACAGGTGTACGGTGTACGTGCACTTGCTTTGCCCGTCCTTGTCCATGTTCCAACCAAAAGATGGAGCCTCCGCCGACGGTGAGGCTTCAACGACTTCACAGATGCAACGCCAGAGGAGCTGAAACGGATGATGGGCTACCGCAAGGAGAGGGATTCGGAGGTCGGTTCTGGTCGTCTCGAGGACGGTCGAAGCGAGCGGTGAACACTTGTGTTGTTTTTTCCATTTCGGAGTCCTGACACGAATTTTGAATGTTTCTCATGTCTTTGATACCATAAGGCTTTGATTCCTCACTTTTCCTGAATGTTGGAGCAGGTTTGGAAAGGATGTGCACTGGGAGGGCAGGTATCGGGTACATCGCCATGGATTCTTTTATGAATTTTCGTTCGTTGACCGTCTCACCAGAGTCGCTGGGCATGTCTCGGACGAACCCGAAGGCGAATTGACAAGATGTCTCCTAGTAGCGATGCCCTTTGCTATCCTTTGCTCCTAGTAGCTTCTTGCTCCTAGTAGTAAGGCCAGGAGCCCCTAGTAGCGTCCTTGCTCCTAGTAGCGATGCCCTTTTCTCTTTCAACACTTTTTAAGCATCTTTTAAGTAAGTCGAAGGTTGTGGGCATCGAGGGACAACCATGCATAAACTGCTTCCAGGATACCACCGTGTCACATGCACATACCGCGGCTTTGCGTATCGCTTTCAGGAGCTGCGTGGTGCAGTGTCGTCACAGGCGAGTGTCGACACCATGGACACCTGCAAGATCCTGCAATGTTTGCTTATCTTTGCTTCATCCCTCCAGAAACACCGGCTCATCTAACAACCATCCTTCAATTCAACTTCTTAGAATGAGTTGCCCCAAGCTTTAAGCTTCAAAGCACATGAAAAAAAAACACGCCCAAACCGCACGGAGATGGGGAACGCTCATCCTCATCCTCTCGCGTCTTCGGAGCGAGGCCGGTACCCCACGGCTGAAAGCGGCCAGGCGCCGTGGACGGGTCCACCGGTGGTGCTCGGGTCGTGACCACGCAAAGCCCGGTGGTGCCGTGGACGCGACCTGGTATTTCCTGCTGACATGAGACATGGAATTGTTCAATTGAAGATGAAGGGATGATGAAGATGGAGTCCAAACTTCATTCATGCAAGATTGTAAGATATTCTGACTGGTGCTTTGATGCCTTGACCTTGAAGGTGTTCAGATGTGTTCAGAGTGGCCGGCACTCAGGGTATCCCATGAGGAACGAATCAAGGTGAATGCCCCCTAGGTGTATAGGGCTGATGGGCTGGAATTTATATATATACCAGACCTTGAATGTGCCAGAAAGATGTCATTGAACAACTCACGTGGCGGATTTCTGACCCTGAATGGCTAAAAACGGCTGGTCGAGCAAGAGCGGATTGCATGGGGCCCCCTAGACCCCAGTCGTCTTTTTTGTTGGGCCTCTCTTCCAATTCGCTACTCATCCCTACCTAACGGTCTTCTACCCATAGACCCACAGTAGTATATTATTTATTATTATTTATATTAGCAATTGGCTGCAGTCGGTGAACACGGTGATTTCCTGAATCCTGGTGTTGGAGTTGGAGCTGTCCAAAAACCTCCAGCCTCAAAAAAAAGGGGTTCTGGGCTTCCAGACCGGCTTCCAGACCGGCCCCCTCACCAGGGCGAAGCCCAAGTTTCCCAAGAACTTGGACTGGCGGGAGCGCACTCCCAGCGTGGTGTCCCCTGTGAAGA